GACTCAGGTAGCACAGCTGGGTAGCCAAAGTCAATATGGGATGGCCTTTAACTCAGGGCCACAAGGCTTGGTAGCCCAAGTCAATAGAGTAGGGCCCTTAAACGCAGGGCAGCACAGCTTGGTAACTCAAGTCAATAATTTGGGGGCTTGAGGGCTAATCGCCCCGTAGGGGGACCTGGGCCCACCCTACTCCACCGGGTCCCAACCCAGGGCCCTGTTAGCAGCGGAACAGTCCACCACTCCCTCAGTGGGGAGTCCAACGGAAACATACTGAGTTTACCTGGGTGGGAGAAGCCACTCGAGCACCTTTCCTGGGTCACTTCCTACTGGTGCTGGTGGGATGACCGCCCATGAAGTGACTGGGTCTTCCATTCCCTCTGGAGATGCTTATCCCTGGGGTTGTTCGGGAGCTGTGTGACAGCAGTCTCCTGGAGCTCTATCTCCCTCTGGGTCATTGGCTGGTGCACCCTAGGCGCTCCAGCCAAAGGTCCTTCTCCTTCAGTGACCAGCCCAGACTGAGCTGTTCTGCTGTCTTTTATACTGCTCCAGCACTTGGAGCATGCCCAGTCTGGCTGAAGGGGCAGGACTTCCTCTACCCACAGGGTTTTAACCACACCTATTTCACACCCCATCACAGTAATTGCCAGAAACCCATGGGGGAACATTTCAACTTGCTCGGGGACTCAGTAATGGATCTAAATGTGTCTATATAATTTCAAAGCAATGTTAAAAGTCACCTGGAGAGAGAAGCTGCAGAACTAGGTTTCGTTTACAAGTCTGACACCTTGAATACAGGTTTAAACAAAGACCTAACCTGGGCTGCTACTTTCCACATCCTAATGACATAAAAAGCCAAGTACTCGGTACTTTGAATACTTAGAGCCCACTCTGTTAGCTTCATTTAGCATAGATGCTCTAATTGACCATATTTTTTTCTTTTTTTCCCTCTTCTCTTTCCTCCCCATTTGCTATTTATTCGCATCCTGGACCCCTTAATTCCATTAATCAGAAGTGGGTTTTGCCCACAAAAGCTCATGATACCATCTGCATTTTTTGTTAGTCTTTATGGTGCTGCAGGACTATTCACTGTTTTTTAAGTTTTTATCCATTACAGACTGACACACAGCTACCCCTCTGAACACAATTTATAGCTTTTCCTGGTAACAGGGCACCGAGTGTTTTGAAAAGGGGAGATGAAAACCATAGCTTTATTCCTACTTCTGATGTCAGCTGTGATTGGGAGGTAGTTCTATTCACTTCCTATTGAGTAACCGAGATTAGTGTTTTGCTTTCTGGACCAGATAGGGTACAGGAAAAGCCTGACATTGTTTGAAACTGTGTCATTAATCAAGGTCCATGACATTAATCTCTTTCCTGCACCTACACTCCTGCTGGAGTGACCTCACCATAGAAATCTAGCAGCATTTCTCTGCTATTTGTGCTCTGCCAATTGTACTCATTGAGAATGTCATTGTGCCTTTTGAAAATGATTTGTCACTTGGTCTTCAGAGCTGGGCTAGCAGAGGTACAGGAAGGTCACAGTGACTTCTGTGTCTTGCACCAGTAGTCAGTGTTCCATCTGGAAATGGAATTCAGAAACTTAGATCCATCAGGCTCTGAGTGGTTTTCTTGAACTGTTAGAGGATGCTGTGTCCTCAGGACAGTGTCAGTCTTAACCACCCCTTAGTCCTGGAGCTTTGATGACAGCAATGCTTTTGCCACTGGGCTTTGGTAATGAGTTTTCACGCCCTTTGATTCACAGAGGAACTTGGCAAGAGTCACAATAAATAAATAAATTTGAAGTAGACATGTTCGACTCAGAGCTGAGACTATATAAGGTATGTTGTACCATCCCATTCAGGCTAGAGCAATGGTTCTCAAACTTTTTGGCCCATGGCCACCTGGCTCAATGCAAACCTTTCTGTGGAGCACCAGTTGCTAATGGAAACTCACTGATAATTACATAATTATGCCCGAGCCATTTTGCTAGTGCTGCAGCTGGGAAGAATGGTTTAATTTAAATTATAAAACAGATTAAGCATTTTAACTTTCTCATGTTAATTTATCAAACTTCATTTTAAATAAAGTAAAATACTAATTTATGTCCAACCCAAAAGGACATAAACCCAAAAACCAGGCCGGCCAATGGGAGCAACAGGGAAGCCTCCAGACTACAAGTCACTGTGCTGCTGCTGTGCCCCCAACAGGGTGAAAGGGGGAGCTCAGCCCCCCTTCTCTTGCATTTAGCTGCGAGTACGCGCTGCTGCTCCAGCCTCGCGGTCGCCATGCAGCTCTGGCTTTCCACTCCGAGGGTGCTCAGTGTGGGGGGCAGGGAGGTGAAGAAAGCCCTGTTCTTCCCCACTAGGCCTGGTTTGCGGTGAGAGGCAGAGAAAGTGGCTCCGTGCGCTGCCATTCCATCAGCAGGGTGCAGAGGAGGGGGAGCGGCAGCACACAGAGCCGCTTTCTCTGCCTCTCTGTGAGAGCCAGGTCAGGTGGGGAAGGCGGGGCTTTCCTCACTTCCCTCCCACCAGCCACGTGCCTTCCGAGAGATGACCATGAGGCTGGAGTGTTGGCATGGGCTCCCTGTTGCCTGAGGGGTGGGGACTGAGCTTGGGTCACAGAGCACCTGTAAGGTGGCTGTGAACTACTAGTGGTCCACACACCGCACTTTGAGAACCACTGGGCTCAGGAGCAGAGAAAATGTCAGGCCTTCTGGGCCACAACTGGAGTTATCTTTTCACAGACATCCGCTAGTCTTGGCAAAATGATTTTGGTCTCAGTCTGGTTCTCAGTGGGCACATCCTAGACTGACACAGCATCACCACATTTGGTAGTGACTGCTGAAACTGCAGTCTCAGCCAAAAGAGCAGCAATCAAATGAGTCTCAGGTTTTGAATTGCCCTTTAGTTTTCTTGCAACCACTTAAAAAAGCAAAAGAAGCATGTTAAATGTCTTACTGGCTTCCTTGTGCCCTCTGAGTGAATCTGTCTTTCTACCTGGAGAGAGAGGGGCTTCTGTTCCTATGGTTCATATAGATAGTTAGGCTATTACACAAGTAATTTGTGATCAGAACAGTGTGGCACTTGGCAGTTTTGCTTAGCTGAGCTTCCCCCACTTTTTTTCTCCACTAAAGCTCATCTGAAGAAGTGGGTTTTGCCCATGAAAGCTCATGATACTATATATATTTCTGTTAGTCTCTAAGGTGCCACGGGACTACTCGTTTTTAAAGTTACAGACTAATACAGCTGCCCCTCTGAGACTTGCTGAGCTGAGTTAATTTGAAATTCCTTTTCTCACTGTTAGTGCATGGGTGTTTGGTCCCTTCTGAATTTGCTTTGAATTTCAAATTTGAACAAACCTCCGAGCAAAACTCATCTGAAACCAGGTTTTGTCTGGTTTCTGCTCAGAACCGTTGATCCAAATAAGCTGCTGGGTGACAAGCTTTCTAGTATAGCCGGCACAACTTTCAGGTAGTCCATGAAAATTCCTGTGTGATAGAGTGGAGTACCAACCACAGGAGTGACCTGGATATTTCTGTTGTGCATTGTATATCAATACGTAACTGAGGCTCGGGAATGTTCTTGTGCACAGAAAAGGGAACAGAAAGCAATGAGACACACATTTGGATCCTTTGTGTTCATAGGTTGGACAGGGAATTGGGTGAGGATCCTATTCACTTCATTTTGCATAAGACCCCAAACTCTTAAGCCAACTGGAAACTCACAGTAAAACTAATGTGAATTTGTCCCTAGTATTATTCCACTGACTTCAATGGACTCAGTTGACTTCAGTGGATTAATTCCATGGGTCACATGACCCATCATGTTTTATGTAGTCAGACTGGTGTATAATCTTTATCTGAAACCAGATATATTTTGCCTGGTTTCATGATGAATGTAAGACACACAGCCCTAGTGACTTGAAAAGTCACCCAAAATGTGTTCCAACACAGCTTTATTCCATGCTCTTCTTTCTGCAAAATCCATTATCTACATAGCTAGTCTATTTGGATGTGTCTAGACTACAGGGTTTTTTCGAAAAAAGTGGCCTTTTTTCGAAAAAACTTCCCCATTTAGACTGCTGCCATGTTCTTTCAAAAGTAAATCGAAAGAACGCGGTAGTTTTTTCGACTGCGGAAAACCTCATTTTACGAGGAATAACGTCTTTTTTCAAAAGTGCTCTTTCGAAAAAAGGCGCTATGTAATGCAAACTGTGCTTTTTCGAAAGAGAGCATCCAGACTGTCTGGGTGCTCTCTTTCAAAAAAGTGGCTTTCTTTTTCAAAAGTATTGGTTGTAGTCTAGATGCTCTTTTTCAAAAGAGGCTTTTTTGAAATATTCTTTTGAACAGGAGCAGCCTTAGATGAGCTGCAAGCAACTGGCGCCCTAGGCAAAACACATGATCGACGCCCCCGCCTCCAAAGCCCTCAATAGCCATTTATCTTGGCACCCTAGGCAATCGCCTAGGTCGCCTGTATTGATGGGCCGCCACTGCTTTTTAAAAAGTCTCTTTCAAAAGAGGCTTGTAGTCTAGACATGGCCTTTGTGTCCTCATGCCATACTCTTGTAATATTCAAGGTTGTCACTGGTTAGCTCCCTCCTTAACCACTCGTCCTGGCAGCAGAGATCACACAAGCTATTTAAGAGTTTTGCCTGATCCAGGATGTAGGTCTGAGCCCTATAGATTTACCAGTATATAGGAATCTTTTCACTAAACATTGAAAGGCAGCAACCGCTGGAGGTGAACATGGTAGTTGTTGTACAGTAACACTGTTCAAGCACATAGGGTGGGGAAAAAGGTTGGGATTCTGAGCAGATGAAATGTAATTACCTAAGTTTGAAAATGATCATGACAACAAGACTGACCATCTGATTTTGTGATGTGCTCTGGAGTTCTTCAGGCTACAAACTCCTCTGTTCTTAGCATCATAGTTTCATATTCTATTAATTTGATGCCTGCTGTACAATTTGCCTCAATTCAGTTTTCCTCCCTTTCCCTTCAGGTTTGTGACCAGGTTTATTGAACTAGATGGCTTGACCTGTTTGTTGAATTTCCTGAAGAGCATGGACTATGAGACCTCAGAGAGCCGCATACACACATCCGTTATAGGGTGTATCAAGGCACTAATGAACAACTCCCAGGGACGGGCACATGTCCTGGCCCATCCAGAAAGTATCAATATCATCTCCCAGAGCTTACGGACTGAGAACATCAAGACCAAGATCGCTGTGCTAGAGATCCTTGGGGCTGTCTGCCTGGTGCCAGATGGCCATAAGAAGGTCCTACAGGCCATGCTTCACTACCAGGTCTATGCTGCAGAGAGAACAAGATTTCAGGTATAAACATGCTCAGCCAACAATTCCCAGCACAGCACATCTTTGAAAAGGATGGTTTGCACTTACATACACATTATACTTGCGTATAACGTTATCTGAGGTATAAAGACCATTTTTCTCACCTGGATTTTGGATTAACCAAAGAAGTGTCAACTCCCCACACAGATTATTTATTACACTTATTCTACAGCCGGTCACTGCCATCAGTGCTGATATAAGATACTGTGCTTTACCTTACAATTGTATTTTGTTGTACTAATGAAAGGCTTTCAGTATTCTTGCACGCTAACCTAGATCAATGGTATCTGTTGGGCTCCCTTTACTTGCTATTTAGGGCAGGTAGCCCCAGTAGCTTCTGTGATGCTTTTCAAGTCAGTGCTACCATAATGCAGAAAGTATGGAGTAAATTACCTGCAGCAAAAGCCATTAATAAGCCCCACAGTTAGCACAGATATTTCCGAAGTATAGAGGAAAAGCTTAGAAAGGCAGATCACTGAGTTTCTGGTTGGTGGGTTTTGATTGTGGGGATCATAAACTGTTGCTATGACCTGCCTCTTCCTAATGAAACAGCCATCTTGATGAGACAGACCTCATGAGCTGCGCTGTTGAGCAGTGGTTTCTCAACAGAGTGGCACTGTACCATTCTTACAGTACAATCCGATATTCTTTCCAGGGGTGAAGTTTCAATTGGATTTTGCCTGACTACTCTGAGGAGGAGATACAATTAGGCCCTCAGATCTTCTGTACATCTGCCATATTCCCTGCCTCCCAATCAGTTGTGTGCACTCCAAGCTTCAGTGGATCTTGAGCTGCTGTACAACTGAGGTGATAAACATAGTTCAAGTTCTATGGAAGGTTGCAGCATTCACAGCGGAGTGGGAAATTGTCACTGGTCACTGACAACTGCTCACGTCATCCTTTTTCTTCAAGGGGTCCTAGTACAGAGACTCAGGAAGTACAGCTGGTTTTGTATCTGGATACACAACAAGGATTCAAGAGACCTAGTTCTATTTCCCTTATGTGGCTCTGCCACATAAGATTAATGTACCAGTAAGAGTTAGGGAATTGCTGATACAGAGGAGGGAGCTGGGGAATAGAAGCCAATATGGAGAGAGTATGATGGCTAGTGTGCTGTGGTCTGAATGTATGAAAACATAAGAATGGTCATATTGGTCAGGCCAAAGGTCCATCCAGCCCAATATCCTGTCTTCCAAAAGTGGCCATCAAGCAATCCCACTCATGTCACCCATTCCCAGACTCTGACAAACAGAGACTAGGGACACTATCTCTGCCCATCTTGGCTAATAGCCATTGATAGGGCTCGACAAACAATACAATCTACTTGCCCGTGGCGAGTAGATTTCAGCTGTGTGCCCTGTTCATTCGCGGCGTGCACATGCGCAATGCGGCTCTTGCGCATGCTCAGTATGAGACTGGCGAGCGGTTTTTGCCGCTGTTCGTCAAGCCCTGGCCATTGATGAACCTAACCTCCATGAATTTATCTAGCTTTTTTTAGAACCCTGTTAAAGTGCTGGCCTTTGCAACATCCTCTGGCAAGGAGTTCCATAGGTTGACGGTGCATCGTATGACGACATACTTCCTTTTTCTTGTTTTAAACCTGCTATCTATTCATTTAATTTGGTGAGCCCTAGTTCTTCTGTTATGAGAACAATTAAATAACTTCCTTATTCACTTTTTCCAAACCAGTCATGATTTTATAGACTTCTATCATATCCCCCCTTAGCCTCCTCTTTTCTAAGCCGAAAAGTCAGTCTTCTTAATCTCTCCTCAAATGGAAGCCATTCCAAACCCCTAATCATTTTTGTTGCCCTTTCCTGAACTTTTTCCAATGTTAAGATCTCTTTTTTTTAGATGAGGCAAGCACATCTGTACACATTATTCAAGATATACCATGGATTTATACAGAGGCATATTCTATGTCTTATTCTCTATCCCTTTTTTAATTATTCTTAACATTATATTTGCTTTTTTGACTGCCGCTCTGAGTAGATGTTTTCAGAAAAATATTCACAATGACTCCAAGATCTGTCTCTTGAATGGTAATAGCTAATCTAATCCCCATCATTTTATACATATAGGTGAGATTATTTTTCCAATGTGCATTACTTTGCATTTATCAACATTAAAATTCATTTGCCATTTTGTTGTCCAGTCACCTAGTTTGGTGAGATCTTTTGAAGCTCTTTGCAGTCTGCTTTGGTCTTAACTATCTTGTACAGTTTAATATCATCTGCAAATTTTGCCACCTCACTGTTTGCCTCTTTTTCTAGATCATTTATGAATATATTGAATAGGATTGGTCCCAGTACAGACAACAAAAAGAGCAGACAACCTTAAATCTTGCCAGTTTTCTGGTAATTAGCCTAGATGAGCAAGCCTGAGATTGTTTACATTGTAGGCGCTTTGGGGTGACCTCGCATGCTTAGCCCTGGCAACTTTCAATCGATTTTTAATTCTTTTCCCCATCTTGACTGAGTTGATCTGCTGAATAAACCCATATGTCGTAACAAACCCAAGTCAACTCAAGTGCCTCCTCTGTGTATCTTTTTTAAATTTTTCTCCAATTGATGATAAATCATTGCTGGGTCAGTGTGTGGTAACACATCTCATCTTGTATAGCTGGGCCTTTGAGAAGTCACATTGAATGATTCACAGAAGCTCTTGTGAGCCTGGGGAAACTTACTTACTATCTCATCCAGGAATGAATGGAATGCACAAATAATTGCCCTTGTCAAATGTTTTTGCATTGGGGAAAAATATAAGTGTTTGCTTCCTCTTTTAAAAAAAATAGGATGAACAGCAGGGCTACGCTCCTGCTTACTAGTTTTGGAAAGTCTGTGTCTGAAAGCTGGAATGGCATTTTCCTCTGCGCTCTCTCCACCAGATTGAACCCAAGCAGTTCTTATCTTGACACTGGTGACTTCTACAGCTCCTGCCACCCTCCACTCATTTGTGCTTCACAATGGATCAGTGGTGACAGCAAGTGAATGTGGTCAACGCTCAGTGAAAGGCAAAGAAGGAAGCTAGTGTCACATTCTAAGGTTCTCAGTTAATGCCTGTGACATAAAGCTTCATAGATCATCTATCAGGTGTGAGCCACTGTTACCCTCTAATGCTGGCATTGGTCTTGCCAGTCCCTTGACAGCTGGGCTTAGGAAGAAGGATCTGCTTGTCTCTGCTTTACTGGGAGATCTGGAACTTTCACGAAGGGGGTGAGGTGGCTGAGCCCAAGGACGTAATAGGCAAGCCAGCTTGTGCCTTTTACTGTATGTGGCTGGGAGATAATAGAGGTCTGAGTCTGGATTTAATACAAGAAAACAATGACAATGTCCTTTCTGAGCAGCTCTTCATTCTGTGTCTTGGTCTGCAACTTTAGAACCAAGATTTTGCAGATGCTTTACAGCTCCTTTAGCTTCTAAGGATAACTGGTGGGAAATGTCTCCCATCACATGAGCATTTCATAACACCTCTCAGTGCAAAAGTTCTCTGAAGGGTTTAGAGCTTCCTGCTCATGGGTGGTGTGTGAACCTAGGACCGGGAGAGAGAGACATACCCCCAGCCCCTCCCCTGGCACCCAAGACCCCATCCCTGCCACCCACGCCCCTCCCTTCTCCCCCCCCCCCCATGCCATGGAGAGCCTGGCAGACCCAGTCTTTCCCGAATCATGGGGAAGGGACACCCTCTCTTGTCCCTGGAGCATGGTCAATACCTGGCCCCCGCCTCCCCAGCTGGGGAGGACTGTTAGTACATGGCCCCAGCCTTGGTAGGGCTGAAGCCCAGGCAATGCCAAGAGACTGTTAAAGCCATGCTGAATGCAGAGTCTGGGAGCAGAGTATGGGCAGGGCCAGTTAGGCAGTTTGGGAAGACCTTCCCTTGCCTCTTATACCTGCCGACTTGTCTGGGCCTGGCAAGGGTTCTGGGGGTCCGGGTGAATCGGCAAGCCTGGGCAGCAGCCTCCGCAGACTGGTCCAGTTATCAAGGCCCAGCAGCAGCCGTGGTAGCCTGGTCCAGTTCTCAGGGCCCGGCAGCAGCCCAATCCCAGTCCTGCCTCTGAGAGCAGCATGGCAAAGCCTTTCTCCTCTGGGGCTGAGATAGAGCCTCTGGCCTGCTTGGCAGCCAAACTCCAACTAAGTTTGGAGCTCCTCTTTTTATACCTCCAGCCCTGCCTTCCTGATTCCTGTGGTCGGGGCTGGGTGGTTCTGGCACCACCCACCAAGGGGTTCTTGAGGGAGTGTCCTTATCTGCATCAGTGGGAGGCCACGCTGACTCACTACATCCCGATCTGGCATCAACACAAGTAATCAATTAAAATTCTTCCTGAGCATTGAAGGTTAATCAAAAGCAAACACTATACAGAAGGAACAGGAGAATCATATTTTGAACATGCAGCATGGAAATAAATTTCTCTGGCTCCATTGTTCTTCATGACAAAAAAATGAAATTGTTGATTGGCCTCATGAAAAGAATGTCTGGGACCTCCCAAAAGGCTCTGCTCTGTTTCCATATAGATGATGATACAATACGCTGTTTAAGGAGACAGCAGATGAGCCAAAGAGGAAGGTGATTTCAGGATATCAGGCTTAGAAGCTGGCATATGTGAGACTTTTGGGTTGATAGAAAGTGGAAAATAGGTCTTCTTTGGAACCTGGCCTGAGCTTAATCTTTGTCATTGATCTAGGCTCTTACTACATTTAAAAGGCAGAGCACCAGAGTCGGTGCGAGCTGGGACTGCTCAATCCTGGCTCGCGCCGGCTCCAGGAGCTACCCCAGCTGCAGCTCTGAATAGCGCCTCCCCTTATTGACTAATTGTATAGTCAATACAAATTAGCCAGATACCCACTCCTTTACATCTTTAGCTTGAACCAGAGCACATCTTTTAGAAAAGGACTCACTGCTGTGTCTTGCACAGTAACTTAAAGATGAAGAAGTGCTAAAAGTCTGGACTTTTGCTTTAGAGTTGAATTTTGTGCTGGTGAAAGCTGCTGGACTGACACCAGTAGATGGGAACAGAGACAGCAGCTATGCAGCTTCGTTACTGTGTTTCAACCCTCACTAGCTGGGACCAGCCTGTGAAAGGATGAGTGAGGAACTCTGGCTTCATTGGCTATTAACAGGAGTGTTGTGAGCAAGACGCAAGAAGTCATTCTTCCGCTCTGCTCTGCGCTGATTAGGCTTCAGTTGGAGTATTGTGTCCAGTTCTGGGATACAATTTCAAGAAAGATGTGGAGAAATTGGAAAAGGTCCAGAGAAGAACAACAAAAGTGATTAAAGGTCTATCTAGAGAACATGAGCAATGAGCAGTGTTTCTCAAAGTGGTTCACAGATCCATTCTGAAAAACCTTCTCATTGGCCTCTCCGGTTTGTGTATCAGCTCCATAGCCACGGATCCTCATGGCTCCCACTGGCTCCAATTCGCTGTTTGCATAGTGCAAATTGTGTAGCTTATTTTGAGTGTATTTCGAAATAGCTTATTTCATGATTTGGTTACAGCAGCAAATTTCGAAATAAACCTCTGTTCCAAAATGTCCCTTAATCCTCATGGAAGAAGGTTTACAGGGACATTGGAATAGCGCACCTGTTATTTCGAAAGATATTTCAAAATAACGGGCGTGCTGTCAAGACACAGAATAGCTATTTTGATATCCAGAAATATCCCGAAATAGTGCCGCAGTGCAGACGTACCCTCAGTGTGGATCCATGGACTACTTTGAGAAACTCTTCCTATGAGAGAAGACTGAAAGAACTGGGCTTTAGAAAAGAGAAGACTGAGAGGGGACATGACAGCAGTTTTCAGGTATCTAAAAGGGTGTCATAGGGAGGAGGGCGGGGGAGGGGGAATTGTTCTCCTTGGCCTCTGCAGATAGGACAAGAAGCAATGGGCTTAAACTGCAGCAAGGGAGGTTTAGGTTGGACATTAGGAAAAAGTTCCTAGCTGTCAGGGTGGTTAAACACTGGAATAAGTTGCCCAGGGAGGTTGTGGAATCTCCATCTCTGGAGATATTTAAGAGCAGGTTAGACAGACACCTGTCAGGAATAGTGCTGGGTCCTGCAGTGAGAGCAGGGACTGGACTCGATGACCTCTCAAGGTCCCTTCCATTTCTAGTGTTCTATGGGTCTAGTCACTTTGTCAGATTCTCTGCTGAAACTGCCGAGAAGGGTGCCCCTTTGGATGGCATGTTGCATCATGTGAAAACCTGTGCTCCTGGGACTGGACTGAGATCTGACAATTCATTTCACACGAGGCATCAGATGATTACAACTTTTTGGCCAACACTAACTCAAGTTAGATTTGAACCCATGGGACATAGAGGTGAAAAGCTCCATATGCCGTTACCAGTTCTCTGAGCCAGTTAGTCCCTCACTCATGACTTTTTATGGCTTCTTTGTAAGAACAAACAGCATTCATCACTAATAATGAAGACCATGAACTATGTTTTTAGTGACTCTGAAAGTGGCCTTTCTTTCCCACTCTACAATGGTAACAGTGCAGTTCTCCTATCTTGACAGCAATGGTACACCATATCCTTTTCCCCTTTGCCCCTCTTGTTACCAACTGACCCCTATTCTTCTTGAAATCCCCATTCTCCATCACAGCTGCTCATTGGGTTTGTATTTATCATTTTCCCAATAGCAGTAGCAATGAATGTCAGTGTGTGTGTCTCTCTTTCTCTTTTGGATCTTCTTTGGCAACCTCTCTCAAGGAGTCAATGAGTAAATGTGAGACAGCTGTTGTTGGAACCATTTTCTCCCAGAGAATGGTTAGAGTTTTATTTTCCCTTCTCACTGTTTCTTGTCTTTTCTTGGTGGAATTCCTTAATGATTTTCCTTTTTCCTCGCTTTTACCCCCCCTCCCCCCAGGAACAAGGAAGTGAGAGTCAGTTTTATTTATTGGCAGCTGTCTTCAGCCTCTATATAACTCACTGATAGCTTCAGATTGGAAAAATGATCATTTCTAACTTGCACATGCCTACGGGAGGTGGATGAGTGTATGGAGACGACACATTTAATTCTGAACCAAAGAACGTTGTATTCTCCTTGGTACAGGTTGATGCTCAGTCTTAAGTCATCTCTGTCCTCCCGGGCAAGAATGTTACTACCCAGAATGCCTACTATAGTACAACACAGAGACACACCAGGAAATGAAAAAGTAGTAGGGAGATTACAAAAGGAAAGCTTGCACTTTGGGCCAATTGCTTATTTTGGTTAAGTTGCTATAACTCTATGGTGTAACTCTTTTAATTTAAGAGATATTACTCCTGTTTTATACCAGTGGAGCTAGGATCAGAATCCAAACGACGGTCAGGACCCAAACTATTGTAACTCCATTGAAATGAGTGTAGTTACAACAGTTTGCACTAGGCATGTCTGGTAGCATGCAATTGTATAATCATGTAACTGCATCACATTTTAGCAGTTACAAAGCTATTTGAGGCCCTACTGGTCCAACTCCTGGGGAGCCTCCTGCCACCCAGTACTGCTGCCTCTGTATCAAACTTAAAAAAAAAAAAACTGGCTTCTTACACAGACCAACTCCCGCCTGCCACGCTACGCTGCTGCCTATGATGCAGAGGCAGTAGAGGGGGCGGGGGAAGGAATGTGTGTAGTTGACAATAAGCCCAGGCTTATTGATTAATCATGTAATTGTTTACACATTGACATCCCTTGTTTACACCAAATGAGGATCCGGCTCCACCTCTATTCATGAGTTGAGCCTAACCAGGCTTGGCACCAAAACACGTTAACTATTGTATTTGTTTTTAATTCTTTTCTACCCCACAATAACATCTGTCAGTGCTCCTAAGCCCACTGGTGATATCCCAGAAAGAATTGTTTTCTAACACCATAAATATTGGATTCCATGATCATTGTGAGTGACAGTGATGTACTCTGGGATATCGCCAGTGACCCGTCAAGATTTAATAAAGATTAGCTCAAAGCCATTTGAGTGCCAAATGCTGCTGTCGCTTGTTTTGTGATGGGGGGACGACATCAAAGCAGATATCTGGGTTTAACTCCACTTCCACATTAGCTGTGCCACTCACTGTTAAGCTCTAAAGCAGGGGCAGGGAACCTTTTCAGGGTCGGGGCCACTGCCCACAGGAAAATCAGTCGGGGGCTGCACACAAGTGAGAAACAAAAAAGCCTTCACTGAAGTGGCCCCTGACTGAGAGGGAGAAAGACACTCCCCATGCTCCCCTCATGCACCAGAGCCTTGGGGGCCCAAGCTAGTAGACTTTGTGTGCTCCAGCCCCGTGGTGGGGCAGTGCGGGGGAGGTTGAAGCACCAACTCGGGCTTCCCAGTGTTTTGGGGGGAGCCCCATCCCTTCCTGTTGTATGTAAATACACAGGAGAAGCTTTTAACAACTCAGGCAAAACTCTGCTGTATGTGTCAACTTAACAGAACCATGGGAACAAGTGGAAACTAAAGCCCCTCCAAGGTCTACATGCACTTCTGGGGGTTCTTCTCCCCTCAGGGTACTTAATACTGTGGGATGCTCTATCTTCCCTCTCGGCACTGGTAGAACCCACTGTGCTAGGGTTCAAGAAAAGAATGATAAATTATCTGGATGCCACTTGTATAAATGGGCCAAGATGCATTAACCATGGAGATTCTGCCTAGCAAATGCAGAACTAAACTGACTGGCAGATCTGGGGTAGGCAATCGTCTCTTACAGCTGCCATATAGATCATACTGGCAGGGACTTTAATGGGAAATTGGGGTTTTGCAGGAATTGTCTCTCAGAATCAAGTGGGTATTTTATTATTGTCACTGAGTGCCCCAAATTGTAATGAATGTGGACAGGTAGATGTATCCCCTCCTCGAAGCATTTTAAGCAGCGATGTGACCCATCAAAGGCAGTCTGAATACAGCTCGCTGTGAATAGATAGAGGGCAATGTGGAGGCTGTGCAGGGGAAACAATGAATGTCTGCTCTAGGCTCTCTCAGCTCCCCCCTTGTGTTTCAGACACTGTTGAATGAGCTAGACCGAAGCATGGGGCGCTATCGGGACGAGGTGAATCTCAAAACAGCCATCATGTCCTTTATCAATGCTGTTCTGAATGCTGGTGCGGGCGAGGTGAGTCACTGCCCTGAAAATCCCATCTGCAGCAGAGCCATTGCTACTGAGTTACTTGCTTTGGAAAGGTCTATTAGACCAATGTGCAAGTCCTCACAGTGTTATCGAGTGGACTTAGTTTTTGGAAAAGGTGCTCGACTGGTCATAGCAATCCTAACTTACATCCTCTTTCTCACTCTTTGCTTGTGACTCCCCCTTGAACTTGCCTCCTGTGCAGAGACTTCCAAATATGCCAGTGGGGTGGGGAGGTTGTGAGGAGCCCGGGGTTGAACATAATTTTTCCAGGCTCTGTACAAACTTGAAACATGGGCCCCGTCGCACACACATACCATGATTTGCAGTCTGGGCCAGGCTCCAGCAGAGTGTACACTTCCCCTCCCCCACACATGTGGGGACCCTGTGAGGAGCATACATGGAATTTGAATGAAGCCTCCAAAATCCTTTTCACTTGTGACCCTGACATCGAAGTGACCTGATCTTGGCTCATAGAACAAATGCTGATTGCTTTGCTCTTCCTCTGTCCTCTGCTGAAGAATTTGTAGAGCACCTTTTTGTCTCTGAGTGCTCCAGTTCCACAGGGATACATGGAGCTGATGGCAGTTATAGGAGGACTAGGTTTGAAAGGGGAATAGTAGGATACACAGTCACTCTAGAATGATATATGGTGACTGAAGACCTGATTTAAACTTGCTTTTTGATGCAAGAGCAGGATTGTTGAGAGAAATTCTGAGTAGAAGCAGGGGATATGAGCCTACCTGTACACTCTGAAAAGTGGGAGAAGTGATACTCAAAGTAAGAATTTACCTGTAAGTGCATCTGTCAAAATCTTTTGGAATCTGCTGAGTTGTTTTTCCCCCCTCCCCCCTTTCTGTAAGGACAATTTGGAATTCCGATTGCACCTGAGATATGAGTTTCTGATGCTGGGTATTCAACCTGTTATTGACAAGCTAAGAGGACATGAAAATGCAACTTTAGACAGGTGAGTCATGATGTTTTACCATAGTTGCTCAGTTATGGAGCAGTGGTAGCTGTTATAGAAATAAGGTTTCCATCTGAGTTTCAATGTAAGCTTGCTTTTGGCTCTCTCTCTAAAAGTCACCACAAAAAGGAGTATCTTCATCACAATTGGTACATTGGTTGTGAAGGCAACATGAACATTTTTGAACAAGAATTTCCAGAATTGTGCTTCTGAGATATAGATGACCACTAGAATCCAAAATGAGTTTAAAATGAGTTTATTTTGCCACTTTTAAAAGCAAACAAACACTCCTCCCCCCAACTTTGATAGGAAAGAGACAGAACCAGCATTCAATACATACGTCAAATCAACACCTAGCACACAGGATCAATGTTCTGGTTTTTAAACTCATATTTTATACGCTAGAATATTAAATAGGCTCTCCAGTGTGGCACATTGGCCCTGGTGACTTACATTAAATTCTGTAGCTTCCTGCACTGAATGAGACAGCTTACCTTGGGCTCTGCAGAAATCTACAACCCAAAATAAACTCCTTATAACAACCAAGCTATGTGATTTGATCAAGAAACTTGAGGATCTTGAATGAGCTGTGCAGAATAATGAGGAGCCTGTAGAAGTTTATCAGATTAGAAACCTAAGAAGCTATGGAGGGTGATGTTTAGAGAAGGGTTTGTGGAGCAAATTCTCTCCTGTGGCCCACCTATGCGTGGAGAGGAAATGCCCTGCTGCTGCCCTGCTATCACCCTCATTATTCTAGTTCAAATAACCCAGGACAGGGCTGGTCTGGAGGCACCAAATGGCTTGGAGAGTGTCAGTGAGTTTATGGCCATAAATTATATATGGAGTTTGCAAGTGTCCCATCAAAACTAGAGTTTCCTTCAAACCTCGGTCTGGCTGGGAATACTGTGCGTGAAATTTCTACCCAAGGATTAAAGCATGACATGGTTCAGCCTAACACTTTGTATAAATACTGGGTTAAATCCAATTGCCTCTCATGAAGGATAGTGCCTCACGTCTTTGACTCTGAATATGGCAGTGTGTTGCTGGGCTTTGCCTTTTACACACACGTCCCATTGTATTAGCGCTGTATCGAGCCAGATTGCGCTCTATTATGCTGGTCAAAAACTGGTTAAATGGTGGAAGATAGATATGTTACTCTGAACTGGCACCACTGTACATGATGTGAGAATCTGGCCCATTTGACTGTTGATGATTCTTTATCCAAATAACCAAGTATGTCCAACAGGATTTCAGTCGGGCTGCTGAACTCACAAGTTGGAACAAGGTTTAACTAAGAGCAAGAAGCCCTGAGGGCTAGCGTGATTGAAGAGGGCCCCAAGAACCATGACAAAATGTCCTGTGTTTCATAGAATACTTGAAATTCTCTGTGCTACATGTCATAAACAAAATGCGATTTTTTTCCAGCAGTCTGGCCAGCAAGCAAGGCATATGGATTCTCCCCCTGTGTAGTAGATGGTATTGCCAGTCACGATACAGCATGTCATACACCTATTTTCATTTTTAGGCTGTAAAAGCAGTAATAACCTTGCCCTATGGAGTTAAATGGGGATTAACAACTCATCGAACATGAGGCCATTCACATCTCCCAGCTAGTCATTCAGTCCCATGAAACATTCAGTCCTCTGAATGTAAATATCCCATGGTGTTCAGACAGTCCCTTGGCAGGGGAGGGAGGAGGGAATTGCCTCATCATCCCTGCCAATATTGCCACCCTCTTGAAGGGAATAGAGTTCCCCTTCTCCCTGCGACAGCTGCAGTCCACACGAATTGGTTGGATTTGTTTTCCTCTTTCCTAGGCACTTGGATTTCTTTGAGATGGTGAGGAATGAGGATGATCTGGAACTTGCGAAGCAGTTTGATGTTGTGAGTTGCTTCTGTGGGAGCTGGAGTTGAATATCTGCTTTGACTGCTCAATAAAAAGCCTGCAGCTTCCCAAGCTGTCAGCAGCACAGAACAGCCTTGGCTGCTAGAGGGAGAATGGCTGCTCTTTTGCTGTTTCTCATGTACAGAACAGGGATCATACCTATGAATGATGACTATATTGAACACTGACATGGCTCCTGCAGAAGGGCTTTGGACAACGGCATTATGCAGCATGTCAGTGACAGAAGAGGGCTGGGTTGTTGGGAACATTCCCAATAGGGATGGGCTGAACCAAAATTCTGGATCCAATATGCCTTTACTTTGAGCTCTGGGCATGGCGCAGACCATTTCTGAGTTTTCAAATAGCAAATTTGTGGTATGTTTCTGAAAGCTGTCAGTTGTGAAGACAGGCTGGAATTTTAGAAGAGAGGGTTAGAGGGAGGAGCGCTTACTACAACCAGGTGTAGCAGTGCTGAACCCAAAGCCCCCTTCTCAGTGAAGCCCCTCTGCTAGGTTATCATAAGGCAAATGCTGCCTTTTGAGGTCTGCCCGTGTCTGTTTTTAAAGACTTTTCACTCCTGGATCCATTTCCCATTCTGTATATTTCTCTCAGTCTCTTACATGTTATTTCTCTGCCTGCTCCAGATTCACATTGATACCAAAAGCGCCTCTCAGATGTTTGAGATGATCAAGAAGAGACTGAAGCACACGGATGCCTATCCCTATTTGCTGTCAGTCCTTCAGCATTGTTTGCAGATGCCTTGTGAGTACATCTTAGTTTCTTAGGTCAAAGGGATGTGGGAAGCCTTGCTATAAAAAGGGCCAATAGATCACAGGAGGAAATGCACTTTCTCTCTGATGCAGGTTGTACAGACACTGTGGGTAAAGGAGCTGGGATTCGACACTGACCCCAGCCTGTGGATTTTGGAAGCTTGCAAACTAACAAGTGGCAGCTTCACTTCACTCTGTATTTGCAAACAAAATTAAGAAATTGGGGGCCTCCTAGTTGTCACAAACCAAGGGTTTTTTGTGGGGGAGTTAAAGTAGAAAGTTCAAAGGAGAAACAGAACTCTTGTGCTCAAGGTCTGCCCAGGAGTGGATGCCAGTTTGATTTTTACCACTATGCAGTAAGGAATGTAAAAAAATTAATTAAAACCTTTGTTGTCCGTTGATGGGAAATGCTCAGTAAACATGTTTTTGGGCTGCTGTCTCATGGTAATGCATCAGGCTCTAAGACTTTAATCAGAAACCATATCAGCATTTTATTTTTGAAGGTCATGGCCTGAATGGGGTTCTTGGTTATTTCATTAAATAATCAGTTGGTACAGTAATTACTGATTGATGCTTCTAAAGGTAGTGGCCAAGAAAGGGGCTTTAACAGGATCATTATGCAGTAGCTTTAGTAAACTTCACCTAGGCTTGAGCAGCGAGACTGAGAAAATTAGCAGGGGGGGTGGGGATAACCCTCCTGATGTCTTTCCAAGAGGCTACATGCAGTATGTTATGAGGCATCTTCTGGATTTCAAAGTACAGGCAACCATCTACCAGCTATATGACACAGTTAATTCTTTAATGTAGTACAAGACATCACATATGTTTTGGTTGCTCAGGGAGAGCCCAGAATATGCTACCGGAAGAGGGCTAAACATGATAGGAATGTTGTCAGGTTAGAGACACAGTTCAGAAGTTTTGAAGTATTTAATAAAAACACGTTTTAAAGAGCCAGACGTTGAAATCCATTGGGCTAATCTGTAGTGCATTTCCCACTGTTGGGTATACGCTCTATATATTCTTATTTGTGATGGATCCTGGCCCCTCTAACACATACCAGAGGGACCAGTCTCTTAAAAAAAAACAAATGGGTAATTTTTTTATAGCTTGTTATGGCCACAAAGTTTTTTTTCTTGAATTAAATTACAGATAGCTGAGCATGTAAATGGTGACTATAAATATTTGTAAAGTACCTGGCCACATGGTATGTAGGTACCTCCATCCCCCCAAAAAATCAGCCCCCCATAAGTAGCAAAGTCACAAGTCTGACTTATGGAAACATAGCTGTAGGTACATTTCTGTACACACTTTCCTGATCTGCAGTAGGAATCATGAAAATTGGGTGTGCAAATTCAACGCATGATTGTGCATGTGCTTTTCACACTAGTCTGATTTAATAGGATTTTACACCTCAAGTGTAAATGTCAATGCAAGATACCATGGAACCAAGACCTGTGTTCTATAACTTACCTGCAATGGGTCAATAACACCACCTCTCCAAACTGTTTTGTTAAGGTGGGTAAAAAGAAAGCAAGGAAAATTGTTCTGTCATGTGGGGAATACAGAGATTCCAAGCACTTTCCGATGCTAATAGCAACCCTTTGTACATTGGTGTTTTTCCCTGCAGATAAGCGGAATGGGGGACATTTCCAGCAGTGGCAGCTGTTAGATAGAATACTACAACAAATCATTCTTCAGGATGAGAAAGGGGATGATCCAGATATAGCTCCACTGGACAACTTCAATGTCAAGAACATCATTAAGATGTAAATTGTATTAATTATTCTTTCTTAACCCTGTAATCCAGCACTTTAGTTGTAAAGGGTACTTAAAAAAATGCCAGGTTCCTGCATGGTGGAATTTCCATCTGTGTTATAATTTATTGTAGTCTGCTGTAAATTTTCTAGTTAATTACTTTCCAAACTACAACTTAATCTGCTCCTTATTTTCCAGTGTCTATATTACTTTCCTCTGTTCTTTGAGTTCTGTTAGCTATGGAGTGATGGAAAATCAAGAAGAAACCACAAAATGTTAACAAATTGTATTACATTCTATGAGCTGCTTCATGTGAGAGAGGTGGTCACATGAACCCTTCATCCACCCCCCTCCCAACACCCCCTCAATGTATAGCATTAAACAACAATGCAGGTGTATCCATCATCTGTAGCATCAAATATTGGCTACTGAAAATACTGAATTAGCTAGACCAGTAGTCTGACCCAGTATAGAACTACAGGCAGTCCCCGGGATACGTACAAGATAGGGACTGTAGGTTTGTTCTTAAGTTGAATTTGTATGTAAGTTGGAACTGGTACATATTGTAGGGGAAACTCTAGCCAAACATTTCTCCAGAGCTCAGTTTTATTCTCCCGCACCTCACTTCCCTCAGTCCTTTATTCTCAAGCTGAGGTGTCTGCTGAGAAAAGCTGCTCCGTGTCTCCCTGGTCTGCTGGGCGGGGCTCTAGCTTTGCATCTCCCTAGTCTGCTGGGAGGAAGCAGCTGGTGCAGGGTTGCCTCACCCCGTTTGTAAGTAGGGATCCGATGTAAGTCAGATCCATGTAACCCGGGGACTGCCTGTACTACAATACAGCAAGTTGTCTCTTCCACTCATCTTTCATTGTAGCTAGCTGCCCACAGAATAGCTCAGAACAGACCATAAATGATCTGGTTTCATCTTTCAGGCTGGTGAATGAGAATGAAGTGAAACAATGGAGGGATCAGGCAGAAAAATTCAGAAAAGGTACGTGGTCTTTGAAGAACAGAGGGAGATGACCTGCCTTTAACCACCCAATGATGAAGAGTAGAGATGAAGATGACATTTTTCACCCTCCAGTCCATATCCCCTTGGGAGAATGTTTGCATAGCCCTAGTGGTATATTTCCCAATGCTTTCTTTAGTCTAGTTTAAATTACTCAACTGATGGGGTTTCCACAGATTTTCACAGATGATTATTCCACAGCCAGAGAAGCCACCTCTACCAAGTAATATATCCTGAAAGTCAGTCTACATATTCCTTTGCCCAGTTTCATCCCATTGCGTTGAGTAATAATCCCTTACCAGTGTGCATTATTTATCTCAATCTATCTCACATCTGCTTAGCAAGCTTTCATAGGTTTTGCTTCATCAGTCATGCTCCCTCGTTCTCTTTGCACTGCCCTCTGTAGAACATGCAGAGCTGTTGAGCAGACTGGAAAAGAAAGAGAGAGAATGCGAGATAAAGACCCAAGAGAAAGATGAAATGATGAAGACATTAAACAAGATGAAGGACAAGCTGCAGAAAGAATCCTTGGAACTGCGTCAGACCCGGGGCCAAATGACTGACCTGGTAGCACAATTCAATGAGTTCTCGGTACGAGGTTGGGAACTTTTCCTCTCCTGCTTTCACCCACAGAAGTGAAGTGAACAGTGAGCAAAGGTGCAGTACTGTAGATTGTGTCTTTCCCCCACATGGAGGTAGGCTGATCTGTGCTGCAGTCAGAAGTATGATTGCAGCATGGGTCGACACACCTGCACCAGCATTACCCATGCCATGCAAACATGGCTAAAAGTAGCAATGAAGACATGGCAGCATGGGCTTCAGTCTAGCTTGCACAAGCACACCGAGAATCCTCCAAGCATGTCTGCACTGCTAACCTGTGCTGATGCCCATGCTGCTGCATCTTCTCAGCTGTTTGTACATCTTCTACCTTAATTAAAACTAGTACAGATATGCCAGCCAATGTTGCAATCACACCTCTGATGGCAGCAAAGATGCACCAGTAAAGGCTACATAGGTCTGCATTAGGGACCATGGTAAGTGCCCTGGTAATAGGGGTCAGTGCCCATATGGCTATAGCTAGTCTGTCCCATTCTTTCTTTGTAATCACCCTCTTCATTTACCCATGCACAAATAGCCGAGGGATACATGTCCTTCCCCACAGTGCAGCGTTTGTCCATAGTTTGTGTTGAAAACCCCAAGTGGGACAGCCTCTCGCTCCTAGGGGCAGCTGGAGGAATGCAGATGTCGCCAGTTCTCAGAGTGTAGGAAATGGAGGTGATAAATGCTCACTGGGGGGCCTTTGAAGGGACTGTGGCTGCACTCTACAGGCCTAACCTTTCCAGGAGCTACCTCCTGCCTGGTACAGCACCTTCTTCACTCCCCTTGTGCCTCTGCCTCCAGAAGCCTAAATGCAGCCCTTAGAAGCTGGTCACTATGGATAGGGGCTTCCCGCCTGTCTGTGCTGCTGGCGGGGTTAATTGGCACGTATTCGCTATTTTAAAAATCATGCATCAGCCCTTCCTCCCAATTTGTGAGATTACAATCAAAACTACATTTTGCCTCCTTTCACAGGCTTTCTGTGGTTTTAAGTGTTTTAAGGGTCATATTTCGAGCTCTTTTCTGCTAGCATGAGGGCTAGAAACTTACTTTTTGACTTCTAAATGAAAGGTGAGATTCTTCCTTATCACAAAATTCTGCAATCTGGGGCTTTAAGGAAAACACCAGAGAGAATTATACATGAGTGGACCACATGATGTTATTGTATATTTAAACATTCTCTGCTTATTTCTCTTTTTGTTTGTTCGTTTGTTTTGTTTTTTATTTTGTTTTGTTTTCCAGCAAGGAGGTGGCATTTCCTTTCCACCTCCTCCCCCACCTCCTCCTGGTGGCCCCTTAGTTTTACCCTGCTCTCTGATGGAGTGTTTACCCCCCGTGCCACCTCCACTCCCATTCTCCAGCTGTCCCCCTCCGCCTGCTCCACCACCTCCACCAGGCGGACCACCACCCCCACCGGGAGCCCCTCCTTTCTTCAGTCTGGGGATGATGCCCCCTCCCACAACTACTTTCAGCAGCAGCGGGACCAATCTGAGGAAGAAATCTGTCCCACAACCTTCTCACCCTCTGAAATCCTTCAACTGGGCCAAACTGAGTGAGGTAAGGCACTGCAACACCCTCCACACCTCAGCTGTCCTAATCAAGCATTATCTGGGCTTGGCTGGTGCCTCTGGGGAGACTTTCTGGGTGCCAGAAGTTGATGCCTTAGTGTCTCTCTTCAGATCAAGGTTTCTGGCTGAGGAGGGGAGAGGGCATTGTATTCTCTTCCACAAGGTTTCACAGCTGCACTGGAACCCTTGGATCTGAACCAGTTGTATTTTCAGCAGGCCCTAGTGTAGGGCTTCAGCCATGAATCTCATCCTGATGGACTGCATTATGACCAAGGCACTGCCTAGACTCTCCTGAATCAGATCCAGGTGGGTCTGTAAGTAGGGCCCAGTCACAGTGGATCTTATGACATAAAACCAGAACCAGGTGTCCTCGTCGCTAAAACCTAGCACTAGCCCCTTCCTGTAGACTCCCATCAGGGAACAGGAGCATCCCTATAGAGTGATCAGCCAGTACGTTTCGGGCAGAGGCAACACAAACGTTGTGAAGTTCATTTCTAAATTGGCCTCCATTAACTTGGCAGGGGCAGCCTCTCAGAGGAGACAGCTGCTCATCACTGTACGGCTCATGTTGTCATGGCTGTACGTGAACCCATATCTGCCCCTTTCACAGTCAGGCTTGCAGCTTATTGCCTTTACTTTCCCTCTGGGTAGGAGAATTTCTCAGTGATGCTGCCATGAGAAAGGGAAAAGAATTCAAACTTGCTGTTGCCTAATGCACTCCTTTTCTGCCACCCCTGCAGCCACTCCCACCCCTCTACTTCTCTTCCTTCTGCTGGATTTTCCTTGTTTCCCCTTCTCTTTTGGGTGTTCTTTTTCCACAGAATTTTTTTAAAATGTCTGTTGAATTTGGATAGCTGCCTAGAAACCCACGTTCTTTTTTATACTGAAACTCACCCAGGGCCCTACTCAGGCATTCAGAATGAGTGTCTGGGGACCTCTGGAATGCCACAGGAATTCACTCTCTCTCCCTTTCTTTAAAATAAAGCAAAGTGAAATATTTGCTGCGCCGTCTGTGCTTGTCTGTCAGGGCCACATGGGGGTGTGGGAGAGAATGTCAGAGTAGGGAGTTATTTTCCTTTCCAGAACATGGGACTTAGTGCGCTGAAGAAAAGAAATAATAACACTGTATGTAGTTTAAAAAAGCGAGAGGCACAGGTGTTTCTGGTTAGTGCATAGTAACCACAGGCTTCTCCTGCCCTGTGGTTAGGACTGGAGGCAGCTGTGCTAATATTGAAGGCATAGGCAGTGAGGTGAGTAAAAGTTGCTATTTTGGGAAACATGAACCAGTTTGGGGAGTTGTAGAAGGCAGGATATTCTTTTGGGAGCTTTGGTCAGTATTAGTGAACTCTCTGTAGATCCCTGAGACTGTGATGCTATCAGAGGTGGGGGCATGGGTATTTGGGTTGGTTGGTTGGTTGTGGCACATTTTGTTGAAGCATCAGTTGACATGGCTCACTGGAAGGGGAAGGAACATGTGTGAGCCATTCCTCTCAGAGCTGGGGTTTCCCCAAGCTGCCACTGGGCACTACCTCTCTGCTTATTGCTGCGGAGAGTAATTTACAGGTTTTAACTCTACTGTTGAAACCCAGTGTTGAGCCAGAGCGTGGCTAGTTTGAGGGAGTCATCTTTAGTTTTATTTATTTATTGGCATTTCTATGGTGCTCATCCCTCTGGGCTCTGCGCTCCGCTCAAATACTCATTAAGCCTCACAACCAATCCACCTTATAGAAGGTGGTAGCTCTAGCGTACAAATAGGAAAGCTGAGGCATAGAAGTGGTTTATTATCTGTATCACAGTAGCATCTGGATTTCCCCAGTCCAGATCCAGGGCCCAATATGCTGGGTACTGTACATACTCATGGAGACAGGGCCCTGTGATCTAAATAGACATGGCTAGCAAAAGAAAAGTTTTGTAAGTGATTTCACAAGGTCACATGTGGCATCTGTGGCAGAAATGGGGATGAAATCCAAATCTCCTAATTCTCAGCCTGTGCCTTAACTACAATACCTTCCTTTCTCCCCAAAGAGCTGATGAAGGAACTTGGTGATTTCTTGGACCTCAGCATGTTTTGAGGTGAATCAGGATAAAGGTTTGAGGATTCATACCCAGGCCAGCAGGACTCCTAATTCTATAGGGAGTAACCCATCCCCTCTGGACAAAACAGGGAATAGCACTGACAATCTTCAGAAGGAGCAGTTTGTATCTGCTGCATTTTTAGGATGGTGGAGTGAATGGAAATGGGAGGAATCCCAGGCGACCTCCTCTGCAAATGTCTTGAGAAATGTAAATTTGTCACAAAGGTTGCTTTTGTTCTCTTGTTTTGAAAAGCTGCCGGGCTCACCAGAGAGACAAGTGCTGAATTGGCCGTGGAAAGTAAAATTCCCTCTTGCCTTTATTGTGGTCCACGTTGGCTAGGGCTCTATATTCACGTGCCTGAAACTTGTATGGTCTGTGGGATACCTCTTCTCTAGCTCCACAGAGCTGAGCGACATCCAGGGCTGCTGATCCAGCACTTTTCACTGGCATTAATATTGGCTTGGGAAGAAAGGTGCCAATCTCTTGTGCATTATGGAAATGCTGAGGTGTCTTTTAAGTTGAAGGCTGCTATCAAATCCCCCCTCACTCTTCTCTTCTGCAGACTAAATAAGCCCAAATCCCTCAGCCTCTCCTCGTAGGTCATGTGCTCAGCCCCCTAATCATTTTGGTTGCCCTCCACTGAATCCTCTCCAATGTGTCCACATCCTTTCTATAATGGAGGGCCCTGAACTGGATGTAATACTCCAGATGTGGCCTCACCAGAGCCGAATAAAAGGGAATAATCACTTCTCTGGATCTGCTGGCAATGCTCCTCCTAATGCACCCTAATATGCCATTAGCCTTCTTGGCTACAGGAGCACACTGTTGACTCATATCCAGCTTCTCATCCACTGTAATCCCCAGGTCCTTTTCTGCTGAATTGCTGCTTAGCCCGGGATTTAAATATCCCGGGCTTTCTTTGCATGTTCGCAGGCACCACCATTTTTAAATGCCACGTAGTTTGAACTCCCTGCCCGCGGCTACATGCGGCACTGACTAGGTAGATCAAATTAAAACTCCTAATTCAAACTACCGTTATTCCTCCTGCAAGGAGGTTTAACGGTAGTTCGAATTAGGAGCTTTAATTCGAACTACCTAGTCTGTGCCGCGTGTAGCCGCAGGCAGGTAGTTCAAACTACGGGCATTTAAAAATGTTGCCCGCCCGGGAACATGCAAATGAAGCCTGGGATATTTAAATCCCGGGCTTCATTTGCAAGTTCAAATGCCTACATAAGCCACCCTAGTTCGAACTAGGGTGACAGTGTAGACATACCCTAGCAATGTTTGGGATTCTTCCATCCCAAGTGTAGGACTCTGTACTTGTGTTTGTTGAACCTCATCAGATTTCTCCAATTTGTCCAGGTCACTCTGGACCCTATCCCTGCCCTCCAGCATATCTACCTCTCCCCCTAGCTTAGTATCATCTGTGAACATGCTGAGGGTGCAATCCATCCCCTCATCCAGGTCATTAATAAAGATGTTGAACAAAACTGGCCCTAGAACTGATCCTTGGGGCACTCCGCTAGAAACCGACCACCAACCTGACATCGAGCTGTTGACCACTACCTACTGAGCCCAACAATCTAGCCAGCTTTCCAGCCACCTTACAGATTTTCCAATTGGAACCCTTAATTCCATTCATCTGAAGAAGTGCCCACCAAAGCTCATGATACCATCTACATGTTTTGTTAGTCTATAAGGTGCTGTAGAACTATTCATTGTTTTTAAGTTTTTTCCAGTTACAGACTAACAGTGCTACCCCCCTGAAACACTTGTGATGGATTCATGACCACGTGGTGAGATTTTCTTGTGAAAAATTGTAGTTTCTGGTGGACATTTGCAAAAATACACTTCATCACAAGTGATTAATATGGATAAAAACAGTAATTTTGCACAGATATTCACAAGATAAGAACCCTTGAGTGTCCTGCTTTGCTGAGGACACTGTAATTTTTTCATAAGCTCTGTTTCGTGGGAATATTGCTCCGGGTAGGCTGGCATTTGGGGATGGCTCTTAGGAGACACCAGAGAAGCAACTCAGACAAGCCCAGGAGGGACTGAAGAGAAAAAGGGAAAGGGGCTGGGGAAAAGCTGCAAGCCAAGCTGAGATGGTGGGGGAAAGAATTAGGGGAAAGACAGACTTCTTGGGAAAGAGACCATGGACCTAGTTTGAGACTGGGGCAAAGACTTCATGTTTTGTGGGGGGGTTTTAGAACTCTACTTTTTGGATGGGTTGGACATGAGTTAAAACTTTAGCTAGAGGCCCAAGGCACTGCAGCAAGTTATAACAGCAGGGCTGCTGAAGAGCCATGCCAGGCCCTGAGAAGGCATGGGGTAGGTGGCCACCCTGTTACAGAAGTACTTGGGGATATAGGATTGCAACATCTAGCCTGAAAATGTTCACTGTTGTTTCAAGCAGTTAATTACCTCACAGATTTTGCTTTGAAATGAAATGGCACACAGTAGATGTTTTCAGTCAAAAACCATGCACTGCCCCCCACAAAAAAAATGGAAGCTTCATTTTGCTCAAAATGAGCCCCAAATAGATTTATTTACATGGGTAAAGGGATCCATTTATTAAAAGGGGAAATCCCTTTTCACCACATTTTGAAACTCACAAAGAAATGTGGAAAAAAAAATTCAAATTCCAAGTAGTTTCACCTCTTGGTTGTGCATAGTTTGTAGGCATCTAGGGGTTGCCTGTTCTAAAATTAACTTGACCCTTACAATGTTCACGGGTTTCTTTTGACTTGTGGGACAGCTAGAGAGGCCTGACTTTATTTAGTACCTCCCAAAGTGAAGTCATGGTTCACTCATTCTGGGATATGATGGTGTTTGATGACTTGGAAACATTTGGTAGCTACAGTGGAGAACAAGGCTGTATGGACTGCCTGCCCCGTGTAGCTCCTTGCT